GATAAGAAAAAATATTTAATTAAAATATAATAAATTTATTTTTAAATCTTAATATTATAGTATATACAATTCTAAAAATATAATTTAAAATAACAATTATTAGATTTAATATTATTAATAAGCTTTTTAATTTATTTTATAAAATATGATGTATCAGAAATGATGATACAGCCTATAATTTTTATTTACCTTTTTTATATAATATTCATTATAAGTAATCAAACAAGTTATTTAAAATAGACATCTTATATTTGTTATTTGTATATTATTTAACATTAAATAAATAAATAAAATATCAAAAAACATAGTAATATAATGAAGTGGTTATATTGTTAACTCTTAAGTAGTAGGTCTAAAGTGTTGATAAAAATTTAAAATTCTTTTATTTATAGTTAACTATCTTCTGCTATTGGTTAGGATTAGATATCTATTATCTGTATTATACTAGTATAACTAAAAAATTATATAACAATTATGCAACAGTTATATCTTGTATAAAGAATACAAACATAGTACTAAGTAGTGTGTACCTATAATAAGTTTCTGTATTTATGTAAATTACAACAACCAGAAAAACAAAAGCTTACTTTGAAGATTCTAATAAAAAGGTAGGTTAAACTTTTGAAAGTACTACTATAAAGACTAGACCTATAAAACAAAACTAAAACTTGTAAACTAGATAAAGACAAATTAGTCTTTTGGAAAAAGCTGTTGTAATAGCCAAACTGCTAAAATTTGTTCTAAAGAAAAGAATGATATAACAGAAGAATATGTAAACAGAAGTATAGTTGTATTTACATTTCTAAGCTATCTGGATTAGAAGTTTAGTAAAACTTAAATAGAATATCAAAGTAGTAAAAATATATTATAAAATAATTACTAGGATTAAGATAAACTCTATAAAAACATAGTATGTTTTGATTACAAATATAGCTATAACATAATTAGATTAGCTATAAGAATAAAATATAGAAGATTTTAAAAAGTTTAGTATATAATCAAAGGTTTTTTATATTAGTGAACTGCTTTAAAGACTTAATGACTACAGCATATTTTTACTAATATTAATCAAAGTTATTAATAGATATAGATAGATAGATAGATACAAAAACTAGAGGTTTTAAATAAAGAGGTTTTAAATATGGCATTTAGTATAAAATCTTTAGACAGACTATTTTAGATCAACTATAAGAATAAGATATAAGATTCTAAAAAGTTTAGTACATGATCAAAAGTTTTCTATATAAGTAAACTGCTTTAAAGACTTAATAACTATGGTATATTTTTACTAGAATTAATCAATATTTTTGATAGATATAGGTAGAGTATTTAAATAAAGAACTTATAAGCAGTTCTAGGTATAGCATCTAGTGTAAAATCTTTAGGCAAACTATTTAAATTAAACAATAACTAAAGTTGTATAAGTTGCTATTGTATACTTTTTATATAGTTACAATCTGTAGTTGTAATGCAACTATTAGTTAAACATACTATTAATAAAATTCTAGGTTACAAGTACTCATATTAATATTTAAAAAAAAATAAATAAAATATTAAAAGATCTCATAATAATAAAAAAATATTACATAGCTAATCAGATTTATAAAATAATACAGAGATTATTCTAAAATGTAATTTTCTAATTTAGTAAAATCTCTAACTAATGTAAATACAATTACTACTTCTAACATAGGATTTTACATAATCTAATATTTAATTTTAATTTATTACAATTATATATAATTATGCTGTCATAACAATCTTTTTTAATCAAAAATGCTAAAAAAATAAAGCTAAAATCTCAATTTAAAAATGAATAATTAGCAGAGAAAACTAGGATATTTAAAATAATTTTTTTAATACAAAGAAGTTCAGTATTTTAAAAATTTATCAGTAAAATATATATTGAAAAAATGAATAATTAGAATTACATGTTATTAGCTCTGAATCAGATTTTCTGTGTTTTATTAAAGTTCACATTTATTGTATAAAAAAAAATTATTTTTAGATATCTTTGTTTTCTGCCTATTACTCAAATTCAAGCTATAATAAATTTACATATATTCTTTAATTATCAATTCAAACCCTAAAGATAAAAAAAAACATTTACAAAATTTTAAATAATTCATATCAATATAGATCTAAATCTCAGCATTAGATATTTTTAATATTAACTATAATATTAAATTTACTATATTTGATCTAATATAGAGTAGCAAAAAATAATTGCAGAATGTAATAATATTAACAAATTATTTACTTGCATATGTATTAAAGCTTTAACTATAAAATGTTAAAAAAAATCTTAACAATATAACAATAAATTTATTTAAATATTTAGTTAAGTTTATTTATACAAATAATATTTAATACATGGATAGGCATTGATTAAAAAAAAACAGAATTTCAGGCTTTGAATTTTCACAGCTAAATTGATTTATTAGTTCAAAAGCCTGAAGTCTAGTTTTCTTTTAATAATATTTAAATACAATGAAAAGCTATCATTTTGTTTATTGCTTTTGCATATTTGTATATAAGCCACATGTTGTGCTTAATAACCACACACAAAATATTTTGATTCACCAATGTGGCTCAGTCTTTCCAAAGCTTAGAGGAGTTGAATCTAGCAGGCTTGACCTTCTTCGGGCGGGAATTTTAGCTTTATCAGATGTCTTGCCGGAATTTCGCCGTTTTGCCAGAGTTCCAAAGTTTTACCGTTTTGCCAGAGTTTTGCCAGTTTTGACTTTTGCACGGTTTATTTTTGACTTTTGCCATTTACCAAAAATAGTTTTGCCTGACAACAGTACCTATAACCCGTAATTAGGATTGGTTCTGTATCGTTTTGGAGGTTATCAGAATTGAAAATATCATAAGATCAAATGGTCTGAAATCAGCCAATCAAATTACAAAATTAGGTTCGTTAGCAATAGGTTTCGTATAAGTTTGGTCAGCTGTCATGGGTTTCGTTAATTAACTTGACGAAAGGTTTCGTCAATGACAAAATTTCGTCATTCATCAGGCACCTTTAATGGACATGTTAATTATGTTGTTAATACAATTCTTTATAAGATTTTGGATGTTAAGTATAAAATTCTGCTAAATAAATTATATTCTAAAAATTATAATACAATAAAATTATTAAAATAAAAACAGGAATATATAAAAGTCTTTGATTAAGTTTCATATTTAACTATAAATAATGACATTAAAAATAAATAATAAATTATAATGATTTTCTAGGTTTAATTTTGATTTTTAACTCTAGACAAATAGTAATGAATCCTGTATGGGTTTTTAAGGGAGCTTCCATATCAATTAATTCTACATCATAATTTTTAAACAACAATGTCATAAAAGTTAACATATTAAGCATCGCTAACTTTTTTCCAGGACAAATTCTTATACCACCACCAAATATAATTAACGAATATTTATCTTTATCATGAATAGGATTTTTATTCTCCTTTTCAAATTTGCTTAAATCATCATTAAATTCATCTGAATCATTTTGTAAATAAAACCTTTCCGGATTAAAAGCTGTAGGATTTGTCCAATACTTCTCATTCATATGAATACTAGCCGAATTTATTTGAAATATGGTTTTGGCTGGCCATTTATATCCAGCAACTTCGCATTCTGCACTTGCAACTCTTTTTAATACTGGTAATGCTGGTACCATACGACTGGTTTCTTTGATTATTGCTTCACAATACTTAAGTTTTTTAAGATAATCAACAGTTATAAATAAGGTATCGGAAGAATAATTAGGAAAAACTGAGTCAATTTCATCAAATAATTTTTGTTTTACATGTGGATTACGACAAATATAGTAAATCATGCAACACAATGTGTTTGAGGTCTAGAAAAAAAAGCAAAATATGTATAAACATACAGATTAATATATTAATGAATAAATCATTAAACATACCGTATCAGATCCAGCGAGAAAAACGTCTAATAAAAGTGCTCTAATATCTTCATCCGTTAAAGACTCTGTAACCTTACTTTTTGCATCATTATTTGGAGTGATAAGAAGAGTTAACAGATCATGTTTCGACTTTAGTTTCTGAGGTGTATTTGCAAAATCAAATTTTCTCCTTTCAATCATATTATTCAATGTCTTCATTATGTAATCTCTACTTTTAAGGAAACTATTTGCCTTATCCTTAAAAAATGATACATAACGTATCAAGAGTGGATGATTAAAATAAAAAAACATTAATCCTTTCTTATAATCCAGGATCGATTTGGCGAATTTATCAGAATCATATAATTCAGGATCATCGAAAAAAGAAGTTTCATGTTTAGATTTATCTGAGTTGAATGTATTATAATATGATTTCATTGAGCAACCTTGTTCACCAGTTGCTATAATTGAAGTATTATCAGTCATAAACCTATTCACCCATGGTAAAAAGTCAATTTCAAGCCAATCATCATTAGAAGGTTGAGATTTTCTAAGCAAATTCCAGTATACATCCAACTCTTTAAATAATTCATTTGTATTTTTTATAGCTTCTTTATTGAAATCCGGAGTTGAAATGGATTGTAAAAGAAAAGATTTATTGATCTTCCAAGTTTCATAATTATTATTAAGAAACATTCCTCGTCCAAAATTTCCAATCATATCTAGAGCTGATGTATATTCATTTTTTGTAAATAAAGCTAAATTCTTTGATGGTGATAATAAATCATCGAAATAATCTGTATTAGTAAGTAATATTCTTCTATAACCACCCAATCTGAATTCACAGATATCTCCATATTTTTGATATAAGTCTGCAGCGAGGTGTCTAAAGTTACCATCAAAAAATCGACTCTATAAATAAGTTTTATCAATATACTATATATATAATCATTACTCAGACATAATAAAAAAAAAGATAATAATAATACCTCTAGTCCGAATGGTAAAGGTAGAGGACCAGGAAGTGGATTTGGACGGGTAAAATAATTATAATAAAAATTAAAAAGGTATAAAAGGAATATTGAGAAGATAATGAACAGATAGTCTGCGGCATTAAATAATTCAATAAATTGAAAGGCCATTTTGCGAATAAAGACTCCTAGTTAAATATATGCACACATTTTATTGCTATTTGTAATTCTAACCAATTATGGCATATAGTGATAGGTGTAATATTGCGGCAGTCATAGTAAGATATACGTATCTTTTATTGGTTTTATCTTGTCACTCTTGTGGAGCTTTTTTACGTTTACATTTTACACATTAGTAATTGTAGCTAATGGAAAATATTCAATGGCGTATCCCACTTTACCAAAGTGATTCACGATATATTCGGTGTTACTTACCCGGTAAATAAACATCAGTCATAATGTATAACATGAAAAAAAACAAACGATTTTTTCTAAAAATCACATTAGTCATAAGATTTCACAAAGAAATCACCTTTTTATACACTTAAAAAAACTTCTTGCAAAATTTTAGTATAATCTCGTCATCTAGCCTAATACCAACCTAACTAAATGTCACATTTAAAAAAGAAAATGCATGTGAACAATCCAAGCAAATAAAAAGTGGATGATGCATAAGTTACATAACACTTGTTATTGAATAACTCATTTTTGATTGCCAGTTAGTTATTATCATTTTGAGAGAAAGGAACAAACGTTTTATACTTCATCAATCATTATAGGGTTTGTCATTTCATTATTCGTCATGTATTGTCTGCTATCAACTTTAAGGAAGGATTTTATTATATGTACAACAGGCTAGATATAGAATTTAGTAAATGAAATATGAAACATAACATTAATTGGAAAGATGATGAGAAAAAATTAAAAATATTTCGATGCTAATATCATCTGTTGACAATATAAAGCATTTTTTCACCGATAGGCCATTTAGTCATCACTCACTGTGACAATTTAGTTGTACAGTCAGACCTCCCTAAGTGCACTTCTATAAGTGCACACACTCTATAAATACACTATAAAGTCCGGTCCCAAGCTGGAACCATATTGTTAAGTGCACACCCTCTATATTCTGCACGTGCATTTGATTTTGTTATTAAGGTACCCTCCGTAAATGCACTATCACGTGATTATAGATCGTCTTGACCAATAAAATTTGAGCAATGTAGTTAATACATAATCGAATTTATGCTTTTCAAAATCCGAATAAATGCGGATACTAAATCGGGCATAGATCAAAGTACACAATACTGCAATAATAAAATTAGAACAATAGGATAATTGAAAATAAAATATACAAGATTAGTTTAATTAAATAAACTACTGGAAATTACATAATTTAATTTGACTTTTTATAAGGATCGTCAAATAAACTTTAGTATTGGACCTATATAAAAGGAGAATCAAATAAAAAAAAAAGTTTTACGTTCAATCCTCAAACTATTTGATTCTGCTATCGCTATGGATACTTATCTGAACTGAGTAATCCATTGCCATACTTATTTGAAATAAGTAACCCATCACCATACAAAAAGTGTGGTTTTTCATTATGCCAATTTAGGAGATGCCTGTAAGTTTATTGCTAGCATATAACAAGACCCAGTCCCTATTGCTATATACTGTAATAAATCTGGATTGATTAAACTTATATCTTAAAAACTAGTACAAGAAATTTATTCTAACTATAAAAATCTGTTCAATCTATAACTTTTTTGATTAACTCTTTCAATGAACCTTTTAACAATTAAACAAAAAAATCAAAAAAAAAAAATAAAAACATATTTTAATAGTGATTTAGGTGCTTTAGTGATTTCTAAATTTCAATAAATAAAGCTTTAGTATTCTTTTAAAAAAAAAAAAAAAAAAAAAAAAAAAAAAAAAAAAAAAATTTCATATAATATTTTTGACAATGCCTAAAAGAACAACTCTAACAGATAATCAAAAATTTGAATTCTGTGTCTATGTCCATGATAACAAAAGAACCTGTCCAGAATACATAAAGTGGATTGAAGATAAATGGGGGGTTAAAGTTAATGAGTTTATGATCACTCGAATCTTACAAACTAAGAACCAATGACTTTCAAATGAAATCATAAATCCAGAAGCCAAGCGACATATGACTGTTACTATACCAGAGCTTGAGCTAGTGCTCAAAGAATTCATATTAATTTATCAACACTGCACTATTCTAAGCGATGCCATGATGATTGAAAAAGAAAAATTGTTAGTGGATGAACTTGGAGTCCCTGAAAACAAGTTACATTTTTCTTCTGGGTGGCTCTAAAAATTTAAAGAGCAAAATGGAATCTGTCAAATAAAGCTTCATGGAGAAGCAGGTTCTGTTGATGAGGATGTTATTACTGAATCCCTACCTTTATTGCAAAGTAAATGCTCTGAATATCCTTTTGACCACATATATAACATGGACGAAACTGGTCTTTTTTACCAGTAGTTTTTTTTTTTTTGATAAAATTTTTTTTTCTTTTTTTTTTTTTTAATAAAAAATTTTCTTTCTAGATTGGAATCGGATCAAACCTTAGTGACTTGATGAATTGCAGGGCACCAAAAAAATAAAGAACATATTTCTGTGACATTATATGCAAATGCCGATGGATCCTATAAGTTGGCCCCTCTTATAATTGGCAAATATGCCAAACCCTGATGTTTCAAAAATGTGAGAATTAATAACTTGTCCATGACATATAGAAGCAACGCTAAGGCTTGGATGCTTGTGGTTCTTTTTCAAGAGTGGCTTCAGGATTTTGACCACCAAATGTTGCAAAAGCATTCGGGTCAACGTGTTCTTTTACTTCTTGACAATTGTTCTAGTCATAAGTTAGATAGGCTAACTCTCCGGCATGTAGATGCATATTTTTTATCCAAAAATACAACTTCTAGGATACAACCCATGGACACAGGAATTATCATAGCTTTTAAAAGATCCTATCATCATTTTCATCTCCAGTAAGTTATTGTACTGTATATTTTATCTCTATTTTTTTTTTTTTAATTGTTTTACTCATTCTTTGTTTTATTATTATTTTATTCTTTGTTTAATTTGTCACAATTCCGGTAGTCCTGTTTCACTAATAGTCTATTCAGTGGCAGCCAATTACATAATACGGTTCTTAATAATAAGGTTGTCAGTGAAACAGACTATCAGTGAACCAGGACTGGATATTGGTATTGAATTTCACTCTTTAATTTATTATGATACAGTAGTCTATTAGATTCAGATTTTAAAAAAAAATTTTTTAAAAAATATTAGGTGGATGTTGGAGCAAGTCAAAGCAGGTAATCTCGTTTAGGATTTGAAAATGGATGTTTTACAAGCAATCTTGTATATCATAAAGGGTTGGGGGGAGGTTTTGGCTGTAACCATATGTAATTGCTGGCATCATATAAAAATTCTCCCGTCTAGTACAAATCTTTCAGATGATCTTTGTGAAGCTGGTGATTCAAGGCTTGAAGGTCTTATTAGGTCACTGGATACTCTCTGTCTTCGAAATGTGATGAAAATTGATGAATTCTTAAATCTTAATGGTGAAGAGATTGTTTACGAAGTCTTCCCAGAGGATCAAATCATTAAGGAGCTGGCTTATGTGTTTAGAAATAATGAAAGTGTTGAAGTTATGGATAAAGGAAATACTGAGGTAATAGATGAAGAGGAAGACAATAGTGTAGAACCCACAATTGTTAGTGGTAGCTCGGCATTGAATAGCTTAGAAAATGTTTGAATGTTTTTACTTCAACAGTAAGACTCAGGTGATCAATTAAAATCAATTAATTTTCTTGAGAAATTTATTAGGAAAATGATGTCAAGTTCTGCTTAGCAAACTCGCATAGATGAATATTTTAAGACATAAGGATTGAATGGATTCATTTTAATAAATTGAAGAAATAGGTAAAGGAAATTCTTCTGTATTTTTTTGCAACTTAATGTATGCAAAAAATTGATGGTAATAATTGTAATTATGAACAACTCAGCAGTGTCGCAACGATATCGCAGGCCAGCAGTTTATTTATGAAAATTAAATAATATTCAGTGTTTTTTTTATTAAATTTACTTTTTTTTTCTTTTTTTTTTAAAAAAAAAGCAGTTAAAAAAATTTCTAAGAATCGTTTTTTAAAAAAAAAATGTAAAATTTTTTTTTTATTTTTTAAGTTTATAAAAAATTTGATTAAACTAGGTCTTATTACACTAGGCCTATATTTGTAATTATTTTTACTTTCCAGGCATATTAAAGAAATTATGCAATGGAATACATGCATTCATTCCATATTTTTCGTGCAAGTCGCATAAATAATTTGTGTATTCAGCAGATAAATGATGTATTTGAGCAACTTTAAACCTTATCTGCTTTAAAAAGTTTATAAATTTTATATGCGTATGCTCCTAATTTTAGAATTTCAAACCGTAAAAAAAAATTTTAAACTCCCATTTATTTTCGAAATAAGTTACAGCTGTTTTCATCCAAAATACTTGAAAAAAATTAACCAAATGATTTTTTGGCCAATTTGATTATGTTTATGATTCAGCATGATCGGATATTTATATATTACAGCTGTTATCATAAATTCTGGGACATCTGGCAAAAATTAGCTAAATAATTTTTCTGCTGATTCAGTTAAGTAATTAATTTTAGCAGTATTCAGTATAATGATAATATAGACAAGGGTAAAATTGTCACCCAAAAAAGTTTCGAACATTATATGACTAATATATCAAACACTAAAAATTTGTGCAAAACAAAATACAAACAAAAATTCAGACTACTTTTCTAAATATTTGGAATATTTCATTACCTTTTAAAATGAGTATAATCCTTCAGTTTATGCAATGACATGACATTTTTATTAATACTACCAAGCCATTTGTTACTATTTGGGTTCATTATGTTTTGTTGTTGTGTCCTGGATTCAGAATTATAAAAACCCTTTTACTCAAATAAAATAATCAGCATTATAATTTTCCAGAAGAGCATTAAAATAAAATCTATAAGATTTTCTGATGAAATTGCATTTTCTTAATTAGTTTTTATAATTTTATTTCAATTTTCATTTATTATTAGTAAAAATTTAGTTACAGCAATCAATATACATTTTAAAAATAGTGTGTTTATTGGATTTTATGTTTTTAACAATCGCTTTTCACTCTAAAGTATCAAAGAAAAAAATTACTACAATTATGTTAATATTTAATGATCCTAATTATGATAATTTGACAATATTACATAATTTCCAAAACTTTTTTTGGATAGAGATTTTTACCCTAGTCTATATTATCATTATACTAAATACTGCCAAAATTAATTACTTAACTAGATCGGATGAAAAATCATTCAGCTAATTTTTGCCAGGTGTCCCAGAATTTATGATAACAGCTGTAAATATTAATATACTTTTTAAAGTATCATATTTCTGAGATATGTATGCACATACAGTAAAATATGCCGAAATCACAAAATTGATCGAATCAGCTGAAAAATCATTCTGCTAATTTTTTCAAGTCTCAGGATTAGTGCAGGTTTCTGATCGAATGATCATAAATTTGTGTAACATAAACCCATAATTCCCTAAGTGCACATCCTCTCTAAGTGCACATTTATGATCAGTCCCTGAGGCATGCACTTAGGAAGATCTGACTGTATATATATTTATATATATATATAAAATTTAATTTAACTTTTAGTTTAATATAGAGATATAGCAATTTAGTAAAGTAAATAAGTTGTTAATAACTAGTTATATAGAGGAATACAAATCAGCATTAGATAGTACAAACTTTAATAAGTTCTTATAACTATATAAATCTGTTAAAATTAAAAAACAAGAAGTTTATTTAAGAAAATCTAAATAAAAAAATAGTATAGATTTTTAATAACACTACTATAAAGTCTAGATCTAAAAAACAAATACCAATATTAAAATATTTAAATAGACAAAAACCTTTGAATAAGAATATTATCAACTAGACCACTAAAATAAACCAAAAGAAAAGATTATTAGACTGATTTATATACTAATAGACTGATTATAATTTTATATAAACTATTTGAATTAGAAGTTTGAAAAACAGGCATATATATGCTAAAGTATTAGAAATATGCTGTAAAGTAAATGCTAAAGTTTAAGTAAACTTTACAATACACAGCAGTTAAATAATATAATTCTGATTGCAAGTATTAGTTTTGCTATAATAATACCTAGATTATTTATAAAAATAGATACAAAAGACTTTAAAAGATTTATTTTAAAAATAAAATAGGTCTTAGATTAAGATGATGACCTGAATATGACTTAGTAATATTAACACAAAGTTAGGTTTAGGAAGTTTAAAATAAAACACTCAAGCAAATATATTAAATATGTCAATTAATAAGAAATCTTCAAATAAACTTTCTAAATAGATAATATAGAAAATTATATATATAGCAAATTGTAAAATTTAAAACCAAAATTTATAAAAATAAAGCAAATGATTTATTTTATAAATAACAAATTTAAAAAAATAAAAGCAATACAATTATTAAACATATAGATGATGGGTGTGAATCCTATAGCTTAGTGGTTAAGCTTCTATACCTTTCATAATCAAAGTTAATAGTTTAAGTCTGGCTAAAGGCAAAATTAAAAGATTTTAGCTTCTGTAACCTAATAAGGAGCCTGTAATTAAATGTGAAGCCTTGTGGTTAAGTCCAATTGCAGTACAATGATAAAAATAAAAATTTCCAGAAGGAGACCCAATCATAGAGTGCAAGTACTATGTGTAACAAGCAGTTATTACAGAATGTTACAGTTATGAAAAGATTGTGTATATAAGTTCTTTAGGCTAAAGCAGCATCAACATTCTTATATCTTCTAATATAGACAGTACTAACATTCCTGCATCCAACTTGTAGAGTACTTGCTTGGAAGAATAATTAACAGATTGTGTAAATAAGTCTTAATTAGGATTCAAGAAAAGAATTTGATTGGAAGAGTATTCTGAAAATAACCAAGACTGAAATAGTGAGAGAAGCAATGAACATGAGGACAGGTTGTAATAAAGGATTGGTCTAACCAAAAATTGGAAGCACCTCTGCTATAGCTGAATAATTTAATTATAGAAGAGAAAAATCTTAAAGATTGGTATATAACTTCTTTATACAATGTAAAAGTACTAAATTGGGTTTTTAGTTATATCTATATAGAAGTCTATAATGAACAAAACTGAAATTAACTAACCAATATGAGATAAGATCTGTAAGATAGTATGGCATCACTGGGGTTGGTATAACTCCCTAAGATATAATCAGAATTGTCTTGCTGATATTATCGAATAAGCTAGAAGCTTGCAATATATAGTAGTATGATATTAATAGGCTCAGAAGAACTCCCTAGGTATAACCAAAATTGGTCTGTTTGTAAGCACAACAAGTCTCAGTCTCTACTATAGAAGGAAGCACTATGTTGAAAGTTAGATGCAGTATCAAGTTACTGTATGATATTAAGACCTAAGACATCTGCAGGAATAGTAACAGTAAATCTGACTTGAGATACAGATTAGTCAAAAGACCAATGATGGCAGCAGATTTGGCTTAAGATACAGATTTATTGCAGATTTTGGACCATTGTCAGAACACTTTCATCAGGAAAATTTTAAAAGTAATATATATCATTAGTAATCCCTAGATTACTAACGATATATAACACCCCTGCCAAGTATCATCATTAGTAATTACTAATGATATATAACAAAATTTCGTTAAATTTTCTTAAACTTTGAATTTAGTTTTCTTGATAACTAGTGATTCAAAACGATTGAATTTTTACTGTAAATAGTGTTTACATTGAACTATATTATATTAAAGTTTTAGCCAATTTGATTTAATTGTTCTTGAGAAATCACTTGTAAATGATAGTTGATTTTTTTAAAAAAATTAACTATC